TCAGGATCGTGTCAAATGGAAGTCCGTAGTCTCTGCCTACCCCTCTGGGTGACAGGCGTGAGTGTTTATGTATTATGTATGTAACTATAATATAGCTGCAGCGTGGCTCTACCACGTATAGAATCTTCGGTGAGATCCCTGATAATTTCAGATTTCGTAGACCGACTGCTCGTAATCGCTTTCTGAAGTAGAGTTTACACTCGCATTACTGAAGTGAATAATATTCCGATGGCCGACACACGCTTTTATACTCACTAAGATAGAGGGTGGAATGACGTAGAATGTTTACTGTCAATGTTGATCAGTCAATGGTGAACACTTGCGATTACATAACGATAACAATTTATCTAAAAGAAAAAAGACTTTATGAAGATTAGGTTGCATTCTGTTCGCATCAATTTTTTTTATCGAATAAGACTGACCATTGAGTACACAGTCCACCTGGTTGTAAGTGTATGCTCTGGTACTGAAAAGGAACCAGACAAACGTTAACTAAGAAACAGAAGGGGGGAATCGAGGCTTCTCTCGATCCGGCCTCCTATAACGCCTACGTTGGGTTCGGGAGCAACGTATGTGATCTCCGCAACGGAGTAACACACAAGGGCGATAACCTCTTCCTTTTCAGAAAATAGGTTCAGGCGGGAATTACGGGTCTTCCGAACTCGTCCCGGTCCCAACGTCTTAATTCTTCGATGTGGACTGTATTATTTTGAGGGAAGAACTCCTTGGGAATAAAACAGCAATTATCTTCAAACCGTTCCTTGAGAGAGTAATTACTTTTCCCTATCACTTCCCTACACTTTTTCTTTCTTCTTCTTATTGACTGCTGGTCTTGCACTTTTCCCGAAGTTTCTCCGAACTTTCCCGAAGGATTCCCGAACTTCCCCGAACTTCCCCGAACTTTCCCGAACTTCCCCGAACGATTCCCGAACTTCCCCGAACTTTCCCGGACGAATTGCAAGTTAAGTTGATGTCGTCTACACGCACCTAGGTACGTGCAGGTATCGGGCCTCGGGGTATACCCCATTGCCCAGATATCCTCATACCCCATAACTATGGGGCAGTCACTTTTTGCCTATCTTGGCATGGCTATAACTACATTTATAATGTAGCCAGATAAGAAATTTCTTTCCGTAGTTCACCGACTACGGAAAGGGAGGTAATTGTAGAGGTAATCTATTTAAGTCTAAGTTGGCCTTTCTGCGGCATTGTGGGTTGTTACTCGACTCTCTAATCACATATAGAGAGGAGTTCTCTTGGAAGAGGTCGCCCGTCCGGTGGCCGGGTGTGTAACGGCGCAAAGCCGTTCTGGTGTTCATGTGGCCCGTTATCGGCACGGTCAAACATGCCGCGCGCTAACCGGGCCACGAAGTCGGTGATGGTCTCGACTTTCAGATCGGCCGCTATAACGTCATTCCGGACGTAACGACCTGCTCCGACAATCGTCCTTAATGACAGGTTCTGCTGAGCCTGTAGTCGCCGTCTCTGGGTGTCGCTCAGAAGCGCGTACCAGGCCGGAGCAGCGTAGGTGGTAATAGTCCGGATATACATCTTGTATATCCTTCTCGTACGTGATCTTCTGGTCGTCGAGAGTTAGTGGCGGTGGTAAGTTTCTGAGGCGGCGAGTGAGCAGAGCGGTCGTCTTACCAACGTTGACGACCATCCTCCACTCGTTCAGCCATGATGGCAACAGGTCCAGCAGACGCTGCATTTTTGCAGTGGCTATATGGGCTCTTCTGGACGAGGTGAAATAGGCGCTATCGTCCGCGTATAGCGCCAGCTCAACGTCGTCCCCCCCTTCTTGCAGCCTGCCTGCCAATGTTGGTATGTCGTTCGTGTAAGCCGCGTACAGGACTGGAGACAGACAACTGCCCTGTGGGACGCCGGCACTGATGGTTCTTGTTGCGGACTCGGCATCCTCTACGCAGACGTAGAACTTCCTGTCTTCCAGGAAAGACGCCATTAACCGCAACCTAGCAGGGGGGACACTGGTCTGTTCGTGTAGTTTGTATAGTAATACTGAGTGCCACACCCGGTCGAACGCCTTCTCGATATCGAGAAAGACGCCCAACGATATGCGGCCACGATTGTACTCTGCCGCAAGCAGGTGCAGCACTCTAGTCAGCTATGTGACTGTAGAGTGACCCCTCCTGAATCCGTGCTGCTCCGCCCGACGTTGGATGCACGGACGGAGACGTCTTAGCAGCAATCTTTCAAACAGTTTAGCTATGTGCGGTAATAGCGTGATCGGCCTGTAGCTGGCAGCTCTACGCCTGTCCTTCCCGGGTTTCGGCAAGACGATGATTTTGCCTTTTTTCCATTCCTCCGGGAAGTGGGATGTCCGCAATATCCCATTGTAGAGTCGACCAATCTCTACTAGGACTTTATAGGGCAGCTGTCGGAGTGCAGCGTTGGTAATCCCATCGTGCCCAGGCGCCTTCCTCGGTTGCAGGCGGTTTACTGTCCTCCGCAATTCAGCGGGGGGAGATGTACCACTCTCCTGCAAGAGGCGGCGCGGGCGACGACAGGAACTCCTGTACGCGACTCTCCTTTAAGGCATGAAGCTCCATGTACTCCGCACTTGCAGGGTTCGGCATAAATTGCTCCTCGAAGTGCTCTCCTAGGATATCCGCTCTGCCCTTGGCATCATAGCAGCGTTCGCCCGCACTGTTGATAAGCGGGCAAACGGTAGGTCTGGTTTTGGTTAGCTGTCGGTTCAGTTTATAGAGCGACGCATTTTGTTCCTCCGCCTTCCATATGCGCCGCTCCCAGACCTCTCCTCTGTATGCCCGGACTGCAACCGACAGCTCCTCCTATAAGATGTTAAGTTGTGCTTTTAGTCTTGGGCAGCGAGTACGCGCCCAGAGCCTCCTAAGTGCTCTTTTGCGTTTTATCTTAACGCATATTTCCTGCGGCAGATCGTCACGCCTTTCTGCGATCGGGACGATCGTAGAGGTCGCGTGGAGGGAAAGTTATAAACTAATTAGGGTGGTTTAGAACTCAGATTTCTTGAATTCGTTCGACAACCATATGAGTTACGTAATTACACCAAGCTAGTATGACGAATTGCAAGAAAACGTGTTTACTGAGCTACCCCAGAGCTATACGCGAAAGTGAGTCGTTTGCCATGTCGTGAGCCATTTGTGCGCTTGCGCAACTCAATTACATCAATTTGTACTATCACTCTCTCACGGTTTACTCAATAACTTTATTTGTATAAGACATACATTTATACAATTTACTTATAAAGTCTCTCAAAAGTAGCACAAGCAAAGTAGCACAAAAAATATCTATACTACGATATACATTACATTTTTATATCACAAAAAACCTTTTATTTATTTAACAAAATATGCTTATTTTACTCACATGTTCAAAGATGGAATTTCTTAAATATTTAACATGGAAAGTTAAAACAATGTTTTCCACTTGAAATTATACATATCTTAACTAATACAATAGCTTCATTTACATTTTCTCTATACATTTCACTATTAAAACACTTTTAAATTTCTTATACAAAACTATCATTATTTCACTTATTCACAGGAATTTTCACATAAAAATAACACAGAATTCACCTCTTTTACACGTACAATCAATCTAAAATGTTTTTACAAGTCATTTTTACATAAATTGCTGATATTGCAAATATTTAAATTTCTATATATTTGGCCTCCTAAGTACGTGGCTAACGTGCGTCTATGAACTCACACTATTTGAACAACTAACTTTTGCACGGCTATCGACTATCAGTAAAAATGGAAAGTCTAATATCAACAATACTAGGTGAATAAATGATTCTACTCAATTCTCAAACGCCGAAAACTATTTCTAATCAGATTCTTATCAGTTATCATGTTTCTTATCAAACAATATAAGTGAATGTTTTCATAAATCAATCATAGAAAATAGGCATTTGTTTTCATACAAAACATATCAAACTCATATAAGACAATACTTATGCAATTAATTTCCATTAATTCTACTTATGCACAGCGATCATCTCGACCGGGGAACAAATCCGGTAACATAATTTATAACTTAAAAATTCCCTATATGAATTTATTAAGAGATATTACTAAGAAAACGATAAACTATTCCGGCCTGGGAGTCGAACCCAAGACCTTCATATCATTAATTCGATATTTCTTTAAGATTCAACTAAGCATTTTCTTATCGGAATATTGTTGCTTGATAATTTGCTTTTTAGAAGCTATTCGTAATCGGTTAAATAATAAATTGAAATATTCTTATAGGCGCGTCGCCAATAGGTACATAGATATCTACATCTATTCTCGATTAAGAAACAAAATTCAGAAGCGTTGTCACCCCTATTAGGATGTAATGCCTCATTTCCATTAAAAACGACTCCGGTTCTTTAGATTCACAATATAAAACTCAGCAGCATTGAGCTGCTATTTTATATTGGTATTCTGTGAGAGCGTGTTCCTTCCCCGGTCGAGCCGACTCATTCGCTACATCAATAATATAGCTGCAGCGTGGCCCTATCATATCCGTTCTATTTACAGAATAAATTAGCGTTTTTTATGTTTTACCGGGTTATATGAAACCTATTTACTAAAACTTTATTCGTTAGTTTATAGTTATGACTTGAATTTGTAATTTTAACACTTTAACATCCATATAGATGTAGTCTACGATTAAGTTAAGTTATTTATACAGGATCATGGGGTCAGAGAAGATTCACCATACTGTTCCGGTGCGAATTTTCTACAGGGCACTAGCGATACGTCCCCGCCTCGCACGGGTGATTTCTGGATCTTCCACCCACACAAACAAACAATTTTTTTTAATCAAAATCACTCCAGCTGTTTAGGAGAAGTTCAGTGACAAACACACGTAAAGAATTATATAGACATAGACATATAAAGACAAATAATCAAAAAGTGTTAACCTACATAACATGCATTATATAGGATCAAAGCGTATTTATAAAAAACATTATTAATATTTTTTATTAAACTATAAAATGTATTTCATTTGTACGTGTCCAATATCGACAATATATGCGGAAATAAATATTTGTCCATATTCCGACCCCATACAAAATCCAGGTGATTGAGCTTCTTATATGGCAATACATGGTAGTCGACAACGTTGGGCAGTTTGTCTCGTAACAGTTCCGTATCCTCTATTGACGATACGCCATCATTCCTGCCTACAAGCAAAGCTATTTTCATTTTCACCAGTCTTAAATCATAATTTGGTGGAGAAATATCATTGTAAATAGCTATATTTTTCAGCGGACCGTAATCGAATTGGGCGAATTTTTCAGTCAATGCTACTTGGCTGATATGAACTCCATTCTTTCTGGACGTGCTGGTGGGATAGTGGGCAACAAGCACAGGTAGAAATTCAGGTTCTAATTCTTCTGTATCACTCCCACCGAGTGCAAACAAAAAGCCATGACCACATATTTGATATCCTATTTCTTTTTGAGTACACAACACTTGAAATAATTGTCTTAATAAAGAGTAATCACTGTACAATTCTTCCTTTTTAAAACCTTGTAACACTTTGTCGATAACTGGTGTTGCAGCAATCACGGACGCCACAGACGGTTTTAAATGTTGCAGAAAGCAAATTGGAGCAAGACCTATCATTACCTTTATCTTGTCGTTATATTCAGGTCTTGTAGATCCCAACACATAAAAAAGTGTATTGCCTTGTGAGTGACCTATGGCGCTCAGCTGCCGCTCATTTGTTCTTTTTAAAATTAAATCTATCGCAGCTGGAAGATCATAATAACCCATTTCATGAAAACTAAAGTCCCAGAATTGAAAATCAATATCAGGGTTCATGTGAGTGTGACTTCTTGATTATCTTGTTCCTCTTGCATTAAGAACCCATACATCGTAGCCATTGTTTGCGAGAGTTATGGCTAAGGACTTGTTTCCTCTGATAATAAACGTGTCAGCGGAGTCGATGAACCCGTGTAAGAGAAGCACTGGTCTTCTCTTATCGCCAGCTATGTGAAATATTTTCAAAATGTATCCATCTTCCGTGACTACATCTGATTCTTCTACGGGACATTCGTAGCTTGCACCTATAGCTCAGAAGTTCAGTCTGCCTTTATCAGAAATCTTCTTTGGATTTAAATCGAGTCCAGAACAAATATATACTGATATGTAAATTGTGATCAATACGATGTAAATTCGTTTTATCATTGTAAACAAAGATAAAGTAACTTTATTTAATTCGTGCTCTTGCGGTTGTGTTTATTATTTGAGTGAGTTGACACGTTTGAAAAATACATATTAACACATTACGGAACTTAATATAGACAAGAGTAAAGAAAAAAACCTTCAAAGTATTTCTTTTTGTTTTTTTCTTTTGTTTTTTTTTCTCACTTATAAATATTCATTAAAACTGCACATAGTATAAAAAGAGAACAATATTGTACTCTAAAATAACATATAACTATAAAATAGCATACAAGATATATAAAAAGAAACAAGAGCTAATCAAGTTACGCAGGGGGCTTGTGTATGTTTAATTAGTATGTTTTAACAACACTAATTTTATAATGAAAAAATGTTTGAACGCTGACATAACTCGCTTAAGGCTAACTTAAAATTCTACGGTCAGAACAATTGCATGAGAGCCCACGTTGAGACTTAGCGGTTTCCGTTTGACCACTCAACATCTGCCTGTGGTCTGCATACAGAACATTCTACTGACGCGGACATCCTGGCGGGTCTTGCCACCGGTAACACATTGCTCCTCAAGTTCGAAGTATACAAGAATTAAACAAGTTTAAATGATGCTTATTAAAAAATATACAGGATACAATAATGAACAACAGTTCATATAACAAAATGATCTATAGACAAACACTCCTAAGCAACACAATTGCCTTTTCAATTTTACTGTTTTTAATTATGTAGTTTGGGCACTTTTTCTTAATCCAACTGACAGAAGTTTGAGGTCTGCAAGATCTATTCCTTCTAGGTTCAGCTGCGCCGGGGTTCACATCTCAAGAGATAAGTTCATTGCAGGTACGTTAATTACAGCTAATATAAAGGATAAAATGCTTTCAATTTCAACAGGGTTAGATTAATATCATTGATTTTGGCTGCACAGTATCGGTCTTGATATTTCATTACAATTACAAATCTCAGAAAGTAAAGTAGACTCCTTAGTATAGTTGTATTTTTAAACTAAATTGTATAAACTGCACCCTTACAGGTTACTTAAACCGAAAATTGCTGGAACCTGGGTGAATGAGGATATGTTTTTAGCATTAATCATCAGGTCCTACATCCTTCATTAGTGGGGATGTGTGGTCTTTAGGACATATGCAACTGGTTAATCGGTTTCCTAACCACTTGATTGCTTACGAACAAAAAATGGGTAGCTTAGTTTGCCAGTAATCGGGACTGTGTTTCTCACTTTCGACCCGCCGTAAATAAAGCTTAATTTATGACTTACTCGAGAGGAGCACTTCAAATATTTTAAATTTTATGAATAGCCATTGAAATAAAAAAAGGCCTTACGTATGTTATTCTATCAAAATATGTTTACAATAATATTTTAGAGGTGTTGAAATCACAAGTACAAGCCATTTTAGCGACTTTTTGTAAATCATCGGGTTTATCAAAAAATAAGAACGATAAGTGTATTATTATTTATTTTATCCCTAAACTTAATGAATTACTTGGTATATTTATCTATATTATAAAACGATTTATATTAAAATATTATATAGTAAAAATATTAAGTGGAACCTGACGAAGAATTTACGGATTGCGCAAATGATCGCTATTTGTTATTTACAATCTAGGCTGTTATTACATTAAAACTTATATTGTAATATGATGAACAATTTATAAAACTTTATTACTTAAATTGAATAATTATATTAAAATACCACTACGACTATTTCGTATTTAAAGAATACAACATAATTACGATAGTGTAAGCTATAGAAAATTATGTTTAGATTCGCGTCATTCTGAGTATTTTTAAAAGTCGACTTTATCACATTTTTCATACACTATTTGCAAAAATAATCCTTAATACAAGAAAACACTAAAAAGGCATTAATTTGGTATATAAATACTAGCAAAAATCAATAAAATTCAATACTCACGGCATATTTTATCACCTCGTTAAATCCACTCAAGCGTCATTTCACTCGCTAAAGTTTAACTAACAAAGTTTCAATATTTTTCGTCCAAGAGGTTGGTAATTTTGATCCAAATCTATGATATATATATATATATATATTTTTTTGTTTTTGGTTTTAATATATAATAGTTAGACTCTATGTGTTTAAAATACGGTCCAAATTCAATTAAAAGAACTTCGACGCTTTGCAACCACAGTTGCAAAGAGCAAAGTTAAGGATTCTGTTTTTGCAACAGTGGTTGCAAGAAGCAAACGAGCGGCTAACAAGGGTGTGTTTGCAGTCTAATCTTCGACGTACTGTACTATAATTTTACCGAACCTTTCATCCTGTCCTCTAATATATATATATATATATATATATATATATATATATATATATATATATATATATATCCTGGATTACCGGGCTTTGCTCGTGTCTTTTGTAAATTTCTTTTGTAATAGGGCGAGTTTGTGGCCCTACGACAGAAGAGATTTTGAACTATTTGAAGTTCATTTAATATAACGTTGGATTTGGCATGTGCGAAAATGGGGACCGCGTAGGTCATAAAGGGTCGTATACAGACCTTATATAGAGTTCGCTTGTTGCGGAGGGACATTTTACTGTGTCTGATCAACATGCTGTTGAGCCTACCCATGTAAAATCGTGCGGTGCGAGTGACTTTCTTGATATGGGGCTCGAAAGTGAGCCTTGCAACAAGGATCACGCCTAAATATTTTGCTTTTGTATGCCATGGGACCAGTGGCGTAGCTACCGTGGGTGGCACCCGGTGCGGAAGTTGGTGGTGTCACCCCATCGAAAGTAAAAGGAAAAAAATATATGATAAAGGACATGGATCATTCATTATTTATAATATTGAAGAAATAACAAAAAACAATATTAACTAAGACAGAAAAGGAATAGTTATACGATTAAAATTTCTTCTTTCTAGCTTTGACAGCTGCAAAATCAGCAATAACGTCATCGAAATTTATATTTTGTATTGCCCCGTGTTCGATGGCTAATATACCAAGATTGCTAAGCCGCGATTAACTCATTGTTGCCCGCAAATAGTTTTTTATTAATTTTAATTACTGTAATTTTACTGTACTGTAGTTTTAATAATAATGAAACTCCTCTCACATGAAGCTACGGACGCGCAAACCGTCATGAACAACTTCAGTGCAATCATAAGATTTGGAAGACATTCTATAAATTCCCATTCTACAATAAACTTTAAAAAATCTAGAGACACCCAATCAGTAACCGTAACATTAGCGACTTTTAAGTGTTTTCGCAGTCTTGCTATTTCAACAGCAACAGCAGGATTCAACTCTGAATCGGTCAAGACACTCCAACATATCTTTTTGAAGTTCCTCTTTCAGTGTGAGTCCTGCATCGCTGGCCATCTCACCAACCATCCGTTTTTTACGCTGAAGTCGTTTTTCTGTTGGAATATCGTAGTCTTCTGATTTTTTGTTGCAATGTCTATTGCCTCTTCCACAATGTGATCCCGTTTTTCTTTGGTATAAAAACGAAGTGCATCTATTTTTGTAACAGTTTCGTCAACAGTCAAGCCTTTACTTCGCAATGCAATCTGTGCAGAATTTGTTTCCCGAAGAACATCATACCAGAAGGAAAGATAACATAAAGTGTAATTGCACACAGCAGGCATGAGGTTTTGTGTAGCACCTATGGTGTCTACATTTTCTCGTCCTTCACACAACTCCTCAATTGCGTCTACAAGTCCTTAAAAATTCTCCTGCTAGTGCTTTTACTGCACGGTAATGAGCACTAGCGACAGCAGAAACAGTACAGGTTTTTAGAGGTGAGGGAATAAACCATCCATGACCGTAGGATTTTGTCACCATTAGGCATAATTTTATAAAACCAATCTTTTGAGAGATGACAAGCGTCACCTTTTATTTTGGTTCCATGTCTAGAAACAGTGGAAAATGGTCCTTCTTTGTTTTGGAAATATTAACTTTTTTATTATTTTAATGCGAATATTGTAAGGAACAGGAATACTCCATTCTAACACATCATTCAATTGAGGAAATAGTTCATTGGTAGCAATAATAGTACTGCTACTATTATTTTCAGCATATTCTTCGTTTGTGTTAATTAATTCTGTACTGTCAATGTTGCTTCCTGAAGATGAGCTGATATTATCTCAATCATCTCTTGCATTTACATCAAGGTGAAAATCAGTTTCTTTTGATGAACTTGGGCTGTCATCAGTTTTTGTAACATACTTAAAAATCGATCCAGAAATACTCTGAGCTACATCCAATCTAGCCTCTTTGGCTTTCCTTTGCTGAAATCCACTTTTTCTTTTGGATGTATGCACTCTCCGGGGCATTTTTCACTTGATGTTTGTTTCTTACACTAAAACAAAAAGGCAGTTGATATGTTCTATAACGTGAGAGTATTTTCTCATAAACTAGTTAAGCAATATGAAACAAATTTACTAAAAACTTTATTAAAATATTT